TGCAAGGAGAAAGCAGTCAAGTGGCAAAGCGCTGAAGCACCAAAGAGATGGAATCACGATCTGGGGGCTGGACCAGGAACAGCCCTGGATTTGCTGCCCTCGCTGGACTCAGGGAGTTTGGTCGCCCACACTGTCCCTTCCCCTCTCAGCCTTGCCACGTGCCTGGTACAGAAGACACAGCCTTGGCTCCACGGCCCGCCCTGCCCCCCCCAATTGCTGCCAGCTCTGCGCCCTGGGAAGCCTCTGTGTCCTCATCTGTAAACTGGGGACAACAGCCCCGTACCACTGAGCTGTGGGGATAAAGTGAAAGCTCATGGAAATGCTTTTTTCAAACGTGACGAAGGCTAAAATTAAGGCCTGAGGACCCCTTCCAAAACAAACTCTCTTCCTTGGAAGTGAAGGACATTTGCGGTGAGGGCCTCTCATCTGTGTGTGGCCTCATTTAATCCTCCCAATGGCTCCATTTGAACCCCGGGCTTCAGAGAGGTTTCATAATTTCACCACGCCCCCTCAGGTCACAAGTCTGGAGCCAGTACTCCTGCCGGGACTTCAAGCACCTTCCTTTCCAGGGCTGGGGGCTTTCTGACACTTTAGGGGACAGGGACCCGGGGAGAGGCCCCCAAATCTGGGAACATGCCACAGCCTTTTATGATCAGGCCAGGGTTCGGAGATGCTGGTTACAGGACGACGAGAGCCCGGGCATGGTGAGGGCAGGGTGCAGGTGCTCTGCGGACCTCTGTCCACACGACCCAGGCCACGGCCTCCAGGGGCACTATGTCCTGGCTGAGCCCTGGGGTGGCGAATGCAAGGCCATGCCGTCCACAGTCAGCGGACTTCTGGCCCTGGCAAGTCCTCCAGATCCTGCTCTGGGCAGGCTGACTGGACCTGGGTGGTCGGGAAGCTTCCTGCTTCCTCACTGGGCACACCCGCATCCTTACCCACAGCAGGCTGAGGGCCCGGCGTGAAGACTGGAGTTATGACCGGGGAGTAGTCTCCGAGCCAAGTTCTGGGACCCCTGAGACCATCTGCCCAGTTGGTTGACCAATGGACCCTGACCAATGTGGCTCAACTGGCTCAGTTGTCCCACAAAGCGAAAGTTCACCGGTTTGAATCCCTGTCAGGGCACATGCCTTGGTTGCAGGTTCAGTCTCCAGTAGGGGCGCACCCAAGAGGCAATTCATTGATCGATGATTCTCTCTCACATCAATGCTTCTCATTCTCTCTTTATCCCTCCCTTCCCCCTCTCTAAAAATAAATAAACAAATAAAAATTTAAGAATAAGTAAAATAAAACCCTCCTCTTGTGAAAATTCTTCTGGAGTCCTGTCGCCTTCAGGGTGATGTCTACGTGAGGGAGGTCAGTAAAAAGCTAGAAAAATTACTCGGTGAGCGGCATGGGGCAGCTGAGACAGAGCTGAACACACCGGCCAAGCAATTCACAGCCAGCTAATAACCACAAGGTCTTATCTTCCCTAACCAAGGACACTTAGGAGCGAGTGGCTTACACTGCCAGCCAGTGCTGGGGCAGACCCGCCTCAGCAGAGAATGACCCTGACTCCTCCTGGTGCTCAATCAGCATATTAAAGGCACACGTGTGAAAGCCAAGGTGAAGTCCATTGTCCTCTCCTGAGACCTCCCCTAAAATTCGTGCCTTCAGAAAACAGATATCAGTTTGACTGGCTTTTTCAAGTTCAAGGAGTTCATCATCACCAAGCCCTTATTATATGAAATGTTAAAGGGATTTATCTAAGGAAAAGAAGATAAAAAATATGAACAGTAAAATGACAACAAACTCAGTTATTAACAACTACACCCAAAACAAAAACAAAAACAAACTAAGCAAACAACTAGAACAGGATCAGAATCACAGAAATGGAGGTCACATGGAGGGTTATCAGCAGGGGAGTGAGAGGGGGAGAAGGTACAGAGAATAAGTAGCATAGATGGTAGATAGAAAACAGACAGGGGGAGGGCAAGAATGGTATAGGAAATGTAGAAGCCAAAGAACTTACATGTATGACCCATGGACATGAACTAAAGTGAGGGAATGTGGGTGGGAGGGGGTGTGCAAGGCAGAGGGGCATAAAGGGGGGGAAATGGGGCAACTGTAATAGCACAATCAAAATTATATATTATTAAAAAAAAAAGAAAAACAGATAAAAACCCTAAGACAAAGGATGCAGCGTGTCCCCTCTGCCTTGAGCAGGCCAGCGCCTCCCCCACCCCTTTCTTTCCCGGGCCCGTACCTTCGCTCTCTTTCTCCTGAGCTTTAAGGGTCCAGATGAGACTTGCAACCAGCAGAGGGGCAGACAGCAGCAGCCCTCCCCAGGGTAACCCCTGAACCTGCCTCTGAGGGCCCTCCTTTTGCCTAACTTCTCAGAGAGCCAAAGGCAGCTCCCCTCGGCTTGCTCCTGTTGCCGTGGTCCTTCCTCTTCTGCTGTAAGCCCTTCCTTTGTTTCCCCGTCTTCAGCTTTAATAAATGTCCCTTCAAAATCACCCAGACTTGTGTTGTCTAATCTTTTCCTGCACGACGTCAAGAACCCACACATTGCACAGCATGCCGGGGCAGACTCACCTTGGTTCCTGGTCACTTTCTGGTGACACATGCCCTTTCTAGCTCCAGGAGCCATCCCAAGCCAACTCGGCCTTTCTCCGCCTCACCAGGTACCTGCCACCCTCCAAGGGCGTATCCCCGCTCTCACCTCTGTCTTTGCTCCAGCCCTCTCTCCTCGAGCACCCTCCCTGCTTTTCTCAATAGGCTACATTCGTCCTGAAGCTTCAGCTCCAAGGTCACTCCACCTGAGAAGTCCTTCTCCCTGCATCCCACTGTCTACTCTACCCACCCTCTGGCCCTTAAGGGACCTATATGGTGGAACAGAAAACAGGTGAGGACTTTGGAATCACAGCCAAGGGTAAATACAGGCTTCACCATCACATGGCCTTGGGCTAGCTACATAATTTTATAGGCTTGAACTTGTGACCCGTATAATAGGGCCAAAAAGGATGTGGGGCGCAGCAAGGGTGGGTGGGTACCCAGTCCTTGCTGACTCCCATCACCTGCCTACCTGATGCCACCCCCCCCCCACTGTCCTGTTTCCCTTGGGGGTGCATAAGCTCCTCTGAAACATGACCCCAGCCCTTGGCACCTTTGTGTCTCTGCACTGTTTTTATGTCAACACTACTGACATCAAATGGGTGAGTTTTCCCACACCAGCAGCCAAAACTTCGACTCTCTGGACACCACAGTTTGATTCATTTCTGACACTATCTACCTGGAGCTGGTTTTGGATTCCACAGATTTAAGGGGTCAGCCCACAAGACTGCCCACACTTCAGACACCAGTCTCAAATATGGGGTACCGAGGGTACCCAAACTTCTATCTGAGTTGGCTACAAAGTTGGGGGTTTCCACAACTCCTACCCACCTTCAGTTTCAAAAATTTGCTAGAATGGCTTACAGAACTCAGGAAAACACTTAATTTAGTATGATTGGCTTATTATAAAGGGTACAAATGAACAGGGCACAAAGTCCTGAGCAAAGAAACTTCTGTCCCCATGGAGTCGGGCTATGCCACCCTCTCAGCAAATGGCTGTGTTTATCAACACAGAAGCTCTCTGAACCCCAAATTCAGGGGGTTTTGTGGTGGTTCCATTATGTAAGCGTGCTTAATTAACTCATTGGTCACTGGTGGTCATTAAGTCAATCTCCAGCCCTTCTCCCTTCCCAGAGGTGGGCATGGTGAAGAGAGTTCCAACCTTAACCCGATGGATAGTCCCTTTGGCATGACCAATCCCCATCCAGAAGCTATCTAGGGCCCTAGCAAGAATTACCTCATTAGCATAAACTCTGACTTCGTTGAAAGTGGCTTGTTATGAATAACCAAAGACACTCCCATCAGCCCTATCACTCAGGAAATTTCAACGCTCTAGAAGCTCTCCTGCCGGGAATAGGGGACAGATCAAAAGTACCATATTTCTTAGTATATTGCAATATCACATGGCCCCACTGCAGGGCCTGGAACATAGTAGGTCTTTTTAATGAAGGAAGCACACTGTGTTCTAGGAGTCTCACCATGCCGCCACACCTTGGCCTGAGAGCACCCAGCACTGAAGCCGCCCAAATGGGGTGGGGGGTGTGGGGGATGGGGGGAGGGGAAGATATCATAGGCAGGGGTTTGAGAATCTGATCTGGCATTTGCTCCCAATTCCATCTCAGCTAACCTTAAGTCCAGCTTTCTCATGTCCCTAAAAGGAGTGCAGTGCTACTCGTGCCCCTCAGGGCATGTGATAGTTAATGAGACACTGCGTGTGAAGGACACAGCCTGAGAGAGGGTTGGACACAAGTGGCCCCCTAGATCTGTAATTCAGACAGGACGGTCTGGTGGCTACTGGGAGGGCCTGGTGGGGTGGGGTGGTCCTGAGGGCTGTGTGCCCAACTGCCACGGTGCCTCGGTGAGACGATGATGAGGAAAAGTTTCATGGCTCCGGCCTGGCACACAGGAGGCCTGACACTATGAGCAAACCTGGGGTAGCCAGGGCCAGCTCCGGGCTCTGGGGCAGGAAGGGCTCCCTGAGGTGACGCCGGGTGGGGGGAGAAAGCAGGAGGATCAGGGAGGAGTGGGGGACTGCACTCAGAGGGGGCCCTCTGTGGGAGTTTGGGGGCGAGGCAGAAAATTCTGGGAGCCAGAGGGGCAGGGCTGAGACATGGGGTCCCTGCAAGGTACACTAACGAGCGTCCTTCAGCAGCCCATGAAACGTGGCTCCACCGCGCGCTAAACGCTCGCGGGGACAGTCTACTTGGCGGCCGGCGCCTCATTTCCTGCACAATAGAAAGGGCGCGGGAGAGCAGAGAGAAGACGAAGAATTTGCAAAAGGAGAAGCGTCGGAGCCAGCGTCCGCACCGGCGTCCGCGTCGGCGGCGGGGGCGGGGCCGGAAGGCGGGGCGGGGCCGAGGGGCGGGGAGGGGTCCGAGAGGCGGGGAGGGGCGGGGCGGGGAGGCGGAGCCCGGCCCGAGGCCCGGCGAAACCCCGAGTCCCACCGGCCCCGACGGCCGAGGAGGCGGCGGTAGCGGTGGCGAGGTGGCGACAGTAAGTGCGGGACGGAGGTTGGGTGCCGGCCTGGCCACCAACCAGCTCTTCAGGGTCCCGGTCGGCCCTGAGCTCCCGCTCTCAGCGTTCCCTCCCCTCCTCCCCACCCCGGGCTCTTCAGGAGGCTGCTCTTCAGGAGCTCAGGACGCCAGCCCGGCCCTCCCGCTGCATTACTTCCCGCTGTGTCCCCTTCCTCAGCGTCTCTCGGCTTCCGACCCGCTCTCTTCCGCCTCCCCCCAGTCTCTTCTCGCTTTCCCTCTCTCTAGGTCTCTATCTTCTTTCTCCAGATTCTCCTCCTCCTCCTTGTGCATTTCCTGAGATTGGACCTCACTGCCTGGATTGGGGGTGGGGTGGGGTGGGCTGAGTATGGACAACTGGGATGTCTACAATGCCAAGGCCAGTCCTTCCGTGGCCTTTGAGGGGCGCCTTGCGTTTCCCAGCAATGCGTTCCCACTGGGTAACTTAGCTGCACCAGCCCCCAGGTCCCCACATCACAGACAAGGAAAATGAGGCACAGAGGGGAGATTGGTTCAGACAGAGTAGGAAACCTTGTTGGAACCTGCACCCAGTTCCAGATGGCGGTCTGCAGTGGCCCCAGGCCCTACAGTTTCTGCGTCTTTGTGTAGGGGCTGCCCCTTGCCCCCATCACCCGGGAAGGGAGCCAGGCCCAGTGTTGCCAGCTCCTGGGGGTGCTTGAGAAACGCACCAGCCACAGCCGGCTCATCCTGGGGATGCTGGGATTCTTCTTTACCTTCCTTTTTTTCTTTTCAATCTGAAAGCCAGCAGCTAGCTTTTATAAAGAGTAATGAGACGTTGCTCACTCCAATGCCCTGGCCTGTGACCCAGGTTAGAGAAAATTCCTGGCTCCTTTGGAAGCTCAGTCAAGGCTGAATAGTCCTGGATAAATAGGTACCTGGAGCAGAGAATGGGCCTCTGCCAAGTATGAGCCCACATAACCCTGATGTTGGCCTCTGCACCCACCCCTGTAGCTGCAGCATCTGGGAAGAACCACTGGCCCTTTCTTTGCTGTCCTACATGAGTCAGAATTTTTAAGCACTAATGTCTGGTTAGTTTGTTAGTACTGGGTTCCCTGTGAATCAAGGCTGGAGAAAGGCCCTGCTCAAGCGGGGGTGTTTAAAATGGACTTGCTGACTTGAATGCGGGCATCCAGCAGCGTCCTGCCTGCCTGCTCCAGGATGCACGCCCCCAGTGGACAGGACAATGTCCGTGGTCGCAGAGTACATCCATTCAGCAAACACTGATGAGGGTGCCCTGTAGTGCTGCCTTCATCCCTGCTCAGAGCTCTCTTGCCACAAGGCCTTCCCCAAAGGAGGCCTGTCTGTGCTCGGAGCCTGTGGACACAGGAGGCCAGGGAATCCCTGTGGGCCCCAGACTGCTTGGCCATGTAGCCTCACCCTTGCCACTTGGTAGCTGTGTGACCTTGGACAAATTGCTCAACCTTTCTGAACCTCACTCTTCATCTGTTAAATGGGTCTTAGAATAGTACTTACCACATTAAGAGGTTGTTGTCAGGCTCAAGTGCTAGGCACAGACCTCAGCGTGCATGAGTGCTGGATTTAATTTTAACTATTGGGGATTCTTCCTCTTTGAATGTGGGACAAATCAAGTCCTCTTCTTTGCATCTGAAAAAAAAGGGAAGTGATAATTCCTGTCCTGCCTAATTCCGAGGAATGTTGTGCATTGAAATAATGGAGAGGCTCCACGCCTGTGTGACAGGGTGTTCCCATCTCACTGGGGAAGAAAGGCCCCATTCTGCTGGCTTGATATTCTGAGTAAGGCTCAGCCTCCCATGTGAGCCGAGACACATCTACTTATTGATTTATTGGGGAGGGAGGAAGCTACTGCAGAAGGAACTAGAGAATCCCATCCTCAGCTTTATGGAAGTATTTTCCATTTATCAAGCTGCCGCCACATCCTGGGTGCTATATAGAACATAGAAGTAGGCATGCTACCTTGCAGTCAAATTCAGCAGCCAGCCGGCCAGCCAGATGACAAGCCCATGATGGCAGGGAAGGTGCTGATGTTTGTGTAACAGCTGCTGTCACAGGCCAGGCATTGCCGGTCAGTTGTAGTTATATAACCATTATAAAAAGTGTAGGTTTTTATAAAAAAACAAAACCTATGTTTGCAGATGGGGAAATTGAGGCTCAGAAACATGGTGACTTGCCTAAGTCCATGTAGGCAACAGTTATTGGCAGCCCAGAACCTTCCCTCTGTCTCGGGCTACCACAGGTTGGGAGTGGCTGTCCCCTGGTGGGATGTGATGAACAGAGGTGGGGGCCCAGGCAGGAGTTGTAAACCTAGGCTTGGCCATTCACCTGGCCAGTGACCTTCCACTTCCCTGGATAGACCTCTGTGTCCCTGGAAATGAAATTCCCCAGAAATATATGTCTCAAACTGGCTTCTGGAGGCAGCTCTAGACACCGTTGACTTTAAAAAAAATGTTACTGCCCTGGCCAGTGTGGCTCAGTTGGAGCATCAACGTATAGACTGAAAACTTGTGGGTTCTGCTTCCGGTCAGGGCACATGCCCCGATTTTGCCTTCAATTCCCAGCTGGGGCACATAGGAGAAGGCAACCAGTCAAAGTCTCTCTCTCACACCAATGTGTTTGTTTTCTGTTTCTACTCCTTCCTCTCTCTCTAAAAGGCAATGAAAAAAATGTTCTTGAGTGAGGATAACATTTTTTTAAATTCAAAAGTGTTATTTAATTTTAATCCTTTTGTTTATTTATTTATTTATTTATTTATTTATTGCATTTTTCCCATTATCATTCGGTCCCTTTACACTCTCCTCCTGTCCTCAATCACCACACTGTTGTCCATGTCCATGAGTCCTTTTTCCTTTTTGCTCCATCCTCCACCCGACCCTTGACTGTCTGTCATCTTGCTCTCTGTGAGTCTGTCTTTATTTTGCTTGTTAGTTCAGTTTGTTCATTAGATTCTCCATATGAGTGAAATCATATAGTATTTGCCTTTCTTTGACTGGCTTATTTCACTTAACATAATGTTCTCCAGGTCCATCCATATTGTCACAAAGGGTAAAATTTTCTCTCTCTAGAGCTTGTTTTTTAATGGCTGAATAGTATTTATTTCATCGTGTAGCTGTCCCATAGTTTTTTTATCCACTCATCTACTGATGGACACTTGGGCTGCTTCCATATCTTGGCAATTGTAAACAATACTGCAGATTGTAAACAATAGGGGTGAGGGCTTATGTTCTTTCAAATCAGTGTTTTGGGTTCCTTCAGCTATATTCTCAGTAGTGGAATCGCTGGATCATAAGGCAGATCCATTTTTACTTTTTCGAGGCGTCTCCATACTGCTTTCCACAGTGGCTGCACCAGTCTGCATTCCCACCAACAGTGCCGAAGGGCTCCCCTTTCTCCACATCCTCGACAACACTTGTTTGTTGATTTGTCTGTGGTGACCACTCTGACTGGTGTAAGATGACATCTCATTGTGGTTTTAATTTGCATTTCTCTGATGATTAGTGACGTTGAGGATTGTTTCATGTCTGTTGGCCATCTGTATGTCCTCCTTGGAGAAGTGTCTGTTCAGGCCCTTTGCCCATTTTTTAATTGGGTTGTTTGTTTTCTAGTGTTGAGTTTTATAAGTTCCTTATAAACTTTGGATATTACTTCTTTATCAGATGTATTGGTGAGTATGTTCTTCCATCTTGAGGACTGTTGAATGCCTTTATTTTTATTTATAATTTTATTTTTTTGAACAGGTAATACATTTATATACTTCAAAATTCAAAAGGTATGAAAGAGTACGAGGTGCAGCCCCGCTTCCCCGTCCCCATCCTTCCTCCTCAGAGGCAGCGCTGCTGGCTGGAAGTCACTCATGTGTCCTCGCAGAGATCGTACGGACACGTGTGTGTGCGGTCCCCTCCCCACCTGCCCCAGCCTTGCTTTTTTGCACAGATAGTAGCATATTCTCCTGCTCCTTACTTTTCCCACATAAAGTTGAAAAACGGTGAGAGTGCATTCTTTGCCCATCAAGGGTCCTAATTCTTTTTTATGGCTGCAGAGGCATGCTAAGGCTGTGAGACCCGGTTTGTCCGTCTGGGTTGATTTCCACAGGGCCTACTATGCTGCATTGCCTCACTCCCCACCAGCCACACACTGGTTTGCTACCTATGTTGCCCTGCATGGGGTGGGAGGGTAACCCCAGGGTCGCTTACGGCCCCGACATCTTGTTTTTCTCCCTGATGCTGAAACCTGACGCTCTCTCACCATGCCCTGGTGACTCCGGCACATGGTCAGTTTTGTAGGGTGGGTGAGCCCCCAGCTTTAGCTTCTGATCACCTGCCCCATCTCTGTTTCTCTGTTTCAACAGTGGCCTTTGTCTCGGAAGGTGACTTTCATCACAGTTCCAACTCCACCTATAGAACCGCGAGCAGCTCTGTCCACACGGACCAGGAAGCACTGCTCGAGAAGCTTCCGGACTGCCCCCTGCCCCCACTGCAGAGGCCCGAGGACCGCTTCAATGGGGCCTACATCATCTTCTTCAGCCTTGGCATTGGCGGCCTTCTGCCATGGAACTTCTTTGTCACTGCCAAGGAGTATTGGATATTCAAACTCTGCAACTGCTCCAGCCCAGGCCCAGGAGAGGAAAGTGAGGACTCAGACATCCTGGTAAGGGTGTGTTCCTCCTGGGAGGCGGGGTGCACTGATCCGGGACGGGGTGAAGGGCAGCTTCACTCAGGTGCACCATGCCAGGAAGGACTGTGGCATGCTGACGGTGTGCAAATTGGGAAGCCATGTGGAGTAGAGTAGAACCAATTCAGTTCAGTCCTAACATGTGCTTTGTGCTGTGTATGAGGCCCATGCTTCGTGCGGCAGACGAGGACAGAAACGGATAAGACGCAGTCCTGGCCTCCAGACTGCCTGCTGTTTAACTTGGGGAGAAGATGCAAACAGTGGTAGTCTGCAGTGTAGTACGGTAACTCCAAGAATTCAGAGTCTGTGCCTTCAGGGGTTCGAAAGAGTGGGTCCAATAGTATTAAGTTCAGCAGTGAGTTTAGAAAATTCCAAAAAGCAGTGGATAAATAAGACAGAAAATAATTTTTTCCTCATGTTCTGGTCTGGAGGGAGCAGCCCCAGCCTGGTTTGATGCTTCATGTTGTCAGGAACCTAATTGTTTCATCATGAATAGCTTCTCAGTTCAAGATCGCAGTCCAGGGGGCTGTTGGAGCTCCAACCATGAAATCAAATAGGAAGAGGAGAAAGAGAGGTGGAAGAAAACTGGAAGTAACACACTTTGCTCTTGCTCGCATCACATTGGTCAGAACTCAGTCATGTGACCACGAGATGCAAAGGAGGCTGGAAAATGTAGTCTTTGCCCCAAAGAACCACATGCCCAGCTAAGATGAGTGGTCGTATAGTTCTGGAGGACAGGAGGAAGTGACGACTCAGACAAGACTTAGTCTTGTCACTGTGTCTTTTAGTCACAGTGTCTCAGAGCCTTGTCACTGTGAATCAGAGCAGGTAGATTAGATGAATGGGGAAGAGACATTCCAGGTGGAAGAATAAGCCTGGGCAAAGGCAGGGTGGGAACAAGTTCAGGTGTGTGTGGGGGGAATAGGAAAGCACCTGATATTGCTGTAGCTGAGGTGTATGCCAGAGAGAAGTAAGGCTTGAGATCATCGCCTGGGCCTCAAATGGCAAAGTGAGAAGGTCAATTCTGGTTGCTTGGCAGCGGCACCAAGCCCCGTCCCGCCACCTAGGTGCCCACTTTGTGGGAAGACTTTCTCTTGGGCAGGTGGAGTGTTGAAGAAAAAATCAGTCTGCCACCTGAGCCTTCACTCAAGACTGTTGCAGTAAGGGAGAGAGATCAGGCTTACTCAAGGACAAGTGGGGATTTATAGCCAAGAAGCACAGTGAGGGGGCGGTCAGTGGATGGAAAATTACAAAGAGGGGCCAGCAAGGGCAGGGGGATTCTTGCTAAAAGCAGGTCAAGGACATATAAACCAAGGTGGGGGGGTGGTGAGAAACTTGATCAAATATCAAGGTGGGGGCATTCTCAATAAACTGCCTTAGCAGGATTCTTGCTACGACCGGCTGGGCAAGCGGAGAACGCAACAGGGCGGGGCAGTGGGGGCAAAGTCCAGCAGGCAGAGGGCTTAGAGTTTTGGTTAATCTTTGTCAAGAGCCCGTTCTCTCAGCCGATCTAGGAGGGTGTCTATTCTCTCTTGGAAGCTCATAGATGGGGAATCGGGGACCTCTCTGAAGGCATGCCAAGCTGGGGGGTTGCTAGCTGCCCCACTCCTCCAGGGGTGCTCCAGGGGACAAGGAGAGTATACCCTAGCAGACCTTAGTCATACCCCTCAACCTGCCCAGGAGGTGGCTCACCTCCCCTTCCTGAAAGCACCTTTGAAATTCCTGATCTGACCCCCAGGAACTTTCCCCGGTTTCATGGGACTGAATCTGACATGTGGACTGAGGTTTCCTGTCATCTCTTTGGAGGACTCTGCCAGGGCTTCACATCAGAATCACCCAGGGAGCTTTTTAAAAAATCCCAGTCTGGGCTCCACCCCAGACATTAGGATTGAATTAGGATTGAATGGGGTCCCTTGATTCTGACACCTTGCGAGGGCCTGCTTCTGTTAACTGGAGAATTGGTAGCTGCCTCCAGGAGCCAGAGCGGTGCGGTATCTACCCCATGCCCGTGGCTACAGAGCTGTCACAGGAACAGGGTGTGGTAGTTTAGAGCCTCCTACTCCAGGTGAGTTCCTTGGTGCAGGCTGGCCCGGAGCTCCTTAGTGAGACCGGGTCTCAGGCCCCACCCCAGACCGGCTGAGTCAGGAGCTGCAGGCTGATAGGCCCCCCACGTGACTGACAGGCACCCGTAGAGTTGGAGGAGCACCGTCGAGGGCGTGGCTTCTGGAAACAGACTGTGGGTTCCAGCTCTGCCTCTGTCAGTGCTGAGCTCGGTGGCCTCCCTGTGCTGTGTCGTCTTCCTGGTATGTACAGGAAGGTAAGGCTAGCAGCAGCTTCTTAGGGTTGTTGTGAGGACTAAGTAAATTTCTCTGCACACAAAGCACTTGGAACCAGGCCCAGCACTAGTGCTCTAAGTGCTGTGTAAACATTATCATTATTATCATTTGGGGGATGCAGCCCTGGAGTATTTCCAGATGCCTGGCTTACCTGGGTGCTTTATGCTCCACTTTTACTTACTAGTGACTCAAGCAGTGCAGCTTTCTGCTGGCCTTGGTAAATCACTCAGCCCACTTGGGCTTCTTCTACCAGAAGGTCCCTGTCTGTCTGGGCCAGCAATGGGCTAGGCTGGCTCCCAGGACCAGATTACACATGCATTTGTCCTGTCCCCCCACCGTTGTCCCAACCCAGCTCCTGGGAGCAGGCTGCCCAGGGCAGAGGAGGATGTACCAGCGAGCCTCTGGGAGCTGGTCTGACCCTCGAACAGCGGACGTCCCTGCACAGTGGACGTCTGCCGTGAGCCGTTCTTACTGCAAGGCGATCCCTTCGCAGCTGCAGGCACTTAGCATTCCAGGCCCAGCTATGATGCTTTATTGCCTCTTCCAAGTGCTGGCAGGTGCAGATGTAGTACCTGTGGTGCCCGGAGCTCCTGGCTCTTGGCATCAGAGATGAGAGACCTGTCACCCCTCGATTCATGGGCCGGCTTTGGGAAGCAAGCATGCTGGGGTGTTTCTGCATTTCACAGGCCATTTTTCTTTGCCTAATTCCCCATTCCCGCCACCCACCTCCCCAATTCTTTCCCCCTGTCTTCCTGATTTCCCTGTGAGAGGTGGCTGGTTTGCTCTGTCACCTGAGGGCCACTCTGAGGGAAGGAGGGGGAGAGTCAAATGGGTCTGCCTCCAGCTGCCACCTGCAACTCAGTTAGCTGTGGGTCTGGATGTTGTTTTTTTGCTGCACTTTCCTTTTAATATTGCCCAGGGATGGATACTATTGGCTGGTGGGTTTGACTCAGTAGAATGTTTTGCACAGGCCGCCTCCCCCCAAATTATGTCACTGGAAGGTCCCCCGCCATCACAGGCTCATTTCCTTCTGCCTGGACAGTTTGGGAGGGGGGTAGGAAGCATCTGCTTGGCCTGGCCATTTGTCTCTGCTCCTGGAGTAAGAACTTTGAATGAACCCACCATAGCTTGTGGGTCCAGAGCCAAAGAGATTAGAGCATAAACAAGAGCTGGCATAGGAAAATGGTGCAGGGGAGGCAGGACAGCCTCCTCTTCCGGGCCCCACCCTGTGCCCACCGTGCCGGCAGGGGCATTAAATGCATTGTCTCTAATTAACCCGGCTTTTTTCAGACGAAGAGCCAGAGCTCAGAGAGGTTCAGTAACCTGCCCGGAGTCGCGTAGCTAGGAAGGGCTGTAGAGAACAGAGAATTCAAGTGGATAGATAATTGCAGAACTGGTCATGCTTGGAGAGTGGTGTAGAGGGGTTACCCACGCCCTGACCCTGCAAATGCTTTCTTCATATGGAGAGCCTGCCCTTGACCTGCAGTTCTGTACCACCCAGACAGGAGCCCTGGCTCTGCCCCTGGAGTCTGGACCCAGCCTCCAAGCTGTCAGCATCCCTGATACCTCCCCACCCCACCCACAGGTTTGTAAGCCATCGCTGATCCTGAGATCTGTTTGCCCTCCCCATGGCCTCTCCTACAGGCCAGTACAGGCTGCCCCTGGGCCAGGGGCTGTAAGCCGGAGCGCCTCCTTTCTGCCCCATTCCCTTTCCCCGAGGCTTCCATGGCTCCTCCCAACATGTTTTGCCTGTGCACCTGGGTGTGCCCAGGGCTTCTCTCTGAGGGCTGCGGGACATGGCCAGGTCATAGGTGGGACCCACAGTCTGGCTTGGTGTCAGCAGGGTCAGAACCCAGGCTTGGCCATTTACTGCTGTCCCATCCATCCCTTGATCAGACAGCCTCGTCCCAGGGCGGGGGGCAGATGCCTGTCTTACCCCCGGAACCTCCACTGCTGCTTCCCTCTGAATTCGGGACTCCATTCTGAACCCCCAGAGCCTACTGCATGCACTTCCCCATTAGGTTCTCACCACCCAGCTCACAGTACTGAGCACTTAGTAAGGGGTGCCACTGCTCTCAAAGCTTGGCCCGCATTATCTCATTTAACTCCACAGCACCCCTGTGAGGCTGGAGCTGGTACTGTCAGTGATGACAGTACCTGTTTCACAGATGAGGACGCCTCCTCCACTAAACTGTTAGTTCTCCCGGGATCACCGTGCATCCCTGTGCCTCCAGAACAGCTAGCACGGTGCGTGGCACATAGCAGCACATGACAAGTATTCGTTGTATGGCTGGGGAGGAGAGCCCCATCATCCCCATCCAAAATAAGGGTGACATGGCTCTACAAAGGGGCAGAAGAAGATCTGAGGGTCACAGTGGCTACCCCCAAAGGCGTTTTGCTCTTTCACACGGGTTGGCATAGACATGAAGTGGGCTTCCTACAATAGGGAAGGGACCCAAGTTGGCCTGGTGCAGCAGACGGGGACCTACCCTCATTTACGGCACCTTGGTCCTGGCCATCAGCATCCCTCTTCAACCTCCACCAAAGAAGCAGGATGGCGTGGCTAGGGAGCTGCTCTTACAACTAAGAACAGACATCCCAGTTCAGGGAAGAGGGGTTAAAAGAAACCAGGATGAACTG